CCGGATGCACAGCGGCCAAACAAACTCGGCCAAACTGGAACGATCGATCGCGGTGAAGCGACTGACCGGTGACCAAAACGAGCGAGATTTATGCGGAAAAAAGATTAAAAATGAGCGGAGCCCGGTAGAAAAATGAGCGAGGCTGGAAACGGCAGAAAAATGAGCGGACGCGATGTGTATAAAGGGTTAAATCCGTTGTCCAATTTAACCCGAGCCGGCACTCTTGGCCCGCCAAAGGCTCTGCCAGGGAAAGGGGAAGGGTAATTGTGGGCAATTTCGCTCATTTTTCCGCCATTTTCGCTCATTTTGGGCCTCGCTCATTTTTCTACTGGGCTCCGCTCATTTTTAATCCGCACCCGATTTATGCGTTCGAGCCATTCGAAGTCGTGTTGCATGTCGGGCGAGAAGTAGAAGGCGCTCCAGCGGTGCGCCAGGAACGTGCCAGGAATACAAGAAGCGGTCGCGGCCGGCAGTCACGACGACACATGTCGAACCCGACAAGACGTTGCAACAAGAGTCGGGTCGTTGGGGTGGCTGGAGCGTGAGTCTTGGCGATCTTGCCCGACACGACACAGTGTTCCAAGTCCCACTCGAGTCTACCAAGGGCGTAAAGATGCGTCGACCACGACGTGAAGCGCTGGCACTTGATGGTGGCCCAGCGTAAGCAACATCGCAAGCACGGCTCAGTGGCCGTGAGCCGACCAGGTTGATCTAGCTCGATCATGATGCGATCGCCAACCTGACACGAAGGCCGGAGATGCTTCGATGAACGCGCTAAAGGCAACCAAGAAGCTCACGACGGAAGCCAAACCAGATGCAAGTCCGTCGTGGCGAGAAAGAGACCACGCAGCACGCCGGGTCCCAACGAGGCAGGCGTCCCATCACCGCGTGCGGCCACGACGTGCGGCGAGGTACATGTGAGCAGTCATGTGCTCAACCTTTCAGCCAAGCTGCGGCCGTGCACGAGTGAGAGCCATGAAGCAAGAACATGGTACATGCATTGTACGAGTACATGTGGCAGCATCAACGTATGCATGTAAAGCAACAACGTATCTGCCTATCGCTCCGGCACCAGCGCCAGCCCAAGCGCACCGATATACGTGTCCGTTGCACCTACACCGGCACCTACGTTGTACGCGCACTGCAGTCCTCGAGCCGAGCCCGTCTGTGTCGAAGAAGAAATCCCCAAAGAGCCGCGTCACAGCCCCATCTACACAGTACTAGCGTCAGCACGCCCCACCAAGGCGAAACACACCCTTGACGATGACGATGGCGTTGTAACTGCCGATGCTTTTGTGTGACGTTGGTTGGCGACGGGGGAACCACGTCCGCGACGGCGGCCACCGATAAACGATTACGTTAGTGCCGATGAGAAAGTGGCCTCCCACGCGGCTTCTACTTGAGCGGCGAGAAAGGTGCGTGCAAACAGAACGTGGGGCTCTGTAAGGGACTCGAACTTGGATCTAATTTCCAGTGCCTAAACCTAGCGTAAATAAGGCGACAAGAAGCATCTATTCTGGACTCGATCAACCACCGTGTCTCCATATCCTGTAGGCTTTGATGGCGGCGCTAGAGCAAGTCGACCGCGCGATCTACGGCAGCGTCATCCCGCGTGGAACAAGCGTGTGCAGCCCATGGGATGGAAGATCGCAAATGACCGAATGGCCGTTATCCGGTATGTTGCGATATCCGGATGTTGGGCATTTGTGGGACGCAAGCCCAGACGAGTGAGCAGCAGCATGCAAGAGTCCATGCGCGAGTCGCTCCGAGCGCAGAACAGCGCGTCCGCCTGCGCGGAGATGCAGAAGGCGATCGCTAAAGGCAGTGTGAAGCTCAAGAGCGACCTCAAGCGCTCGAGCGCGTTCGTGAAGAAGCTCAAGGTGCTTACGGACGCCAACGTCGCCGCTTGCCTCAAGGACGTGGCCGAGCTCAACCTCACGCGGTACTTGAGCGAGTGCATCGTTGCCCTCGTCGAGGCGATCGTGACGCTGAAGCCAAGCGAAGTGGGCTCGCACGTCCAAGTCATCAGCGCGCTGCACCAGCGGTACGGGACCAGCGACCTCACGGACCCACTGATCGCCGCGTACGTCACGGCGGCGTTCAACCCGCCGAATCCGCCCGCGGACGCCGCTGCCAAGCAAAAGCACAGCAAGCGGCGCCTTGTCACGTTGCGTGTACTCACGGAGCTCTACCTCGTGCAAGTGGTCGTGGACATTCAAGTCATCTTTGGCATCCTCCAGCGCGTCGTTGCGCGCGAAGATCCGAACGCCAAGGCCGCGGCCAAGAAGGGCACGCCATCGACGAAGGCACCGCCGCTCGACGTGACGCTGCTCGTGAGTTTTGCAAAGTACGCAGGCGCCGAGTTCCTCGGCCCCGGCATGTCGGCGCTCGTGCCACAGACGATGCAGGACCAGTTCCGCAGTGTGTTTGACCAGGCCTTTGAGCTCATCGGCGGCATGTACATTGCGCAGCACCAGACCGTCCGAAAGCTCGAGAAACGCAACTTGAAGGAGGAGGCGAACCGCGGCGAGCTCTGCGAGGAGCACGCGGCCGAGTTTGCTGCGGCCACGACGCTCTGCGAGAAGCTCACGTCGAGTATCACGACGCTTTCGGAGGCGCTGCAGAAACCTGTGCCAGCGCTGCCCATCGACACCTCGGACGACGGTGCGCACTCGCAACTGCTTGTGTGGGACGGCAACGAGGGCCGCGCCGAGCTCCACGCGGACGGTCCGTTCGACGACGAGGACACGCGTTCGTTCTACGAAGACCTCCCAGACCTCCTCGAGCTTGTGCCTGCAGTCGTGCTCGGTCTCTCAGAGGCCGAAGTCGCGGAGCTCAAGGCCAAGCACGCAGCGGCGCCCGTCGAAGAAGCTGACGAGCCGCCAGCCGACGAGCCGGATGCGGACACAGCGGTGGAAGACATGGTCGACGCGACAGAAGCTGCAGGTGATGACGCGACCGAAGCTGCGGGCGATGACGCGTCGGCGCCGGCCCCGACCGCGGAGGACGAGAAGTCAAAGGATGCCAAGGCCGTGTCATACCACCACCAGATGGACGCGTACTTTGCGACGCTCGAAGACATGGTGAACCGGGACCGGTGCGACAAGGCGGCCATTGCGTTCTGCTACACCAACTCGAAGGCGGCGCGTGCTCGGTACGTTGATGCGTGACGGGCCCAGTCATGTGATTTGCGCGGACGTAGGCTCGTGCAGACGCTCTTCAGCGTGCCTCGGACGCATCTGGAGCTTCTCGCGTACTACTCGCGCCTCGCCGCGACGCTCCACAGCGTGCTCAAGGACGATATTGGCGGCAGCCTCGTGAAAATGCTCGTGCAAGAGTTCAACTACTTCCAGAAGAAGAAGAACCAGTACCGGCTCGAGTCCAAGGTCAAGAACATCCGGTTCCTGGGCGAGCTCACCAAGTTCAAGCTCTGCCCGCCCAACACGGGGTTTCGCTGCCTTCAGCGGCTCTTTGCCGACTTTCAAGGCCACAACGTCGTGCTCGCCACCACGTTTCTCGAGACGTGCGGGCGGTACCTCTACTGCAACAAGTACACGCACGCGCGCACGGCCATGAGCCTCGACATTATGATGCGCCTCAAGACGGCCAAGCACCTCGACCCGCTCGCGGAAACGCTCGTCATGAACGCCTACTACATGTGCAAGCCACCGGAGCGCGTCGCCCGCGTCAAGGCACCCAAGGACCCGGTCTACCTCTTCATCCTCTCGCGCCTCGTGACGCTGCGGCCGGACGGCGTCGGACGTGTCGTCCGCGTCTGCCGCAAGCTCAACTGGGACGACCCGGTCGTGGTGCAGTATGTGGTCAAGGCCGTACTCCACGTTGCCAAGTCTCAAGTGCTCCAGCTGAGCCTTGTTTGCGACGTCGTCGCGGGTCTTGCGCGGTAGGCAGCTTCAAACGAAGAAGGGTCGCATTACTTATGGATGTAGCATGCACGAGGAGCTGGGAGTGCACCTCGTGGACACGACGATCGAGATGCTTCGTTTTCTCTTGACGCTCAACAGCTACAAGTACCACCAGCGCTGTCTCGGCCTCATCAAGCTCCTCGGCGAGCTCTACACGCACGGCCTCGTCAACTCGGTCGTCATCTTTGAGACGCTCTACTGGCTGCTGCAGCACGGCCACGACACGACGGCAGGTCCGATGGAGACGCCGTTGACGGACGACGCGCTGCGTCGCCTCGAGCTCGTGCCCGATATGAAGTAGCTTCTGTGACGATTAATGTCCAGGTGCATATCGTCTTCGTCGTAGGTACGATCCGCGCGTGCCGAGCGACGTGGACGACGACCGCAACGTGTTTCGCATCCGCCTCATGTGCGCACTCTTGGAGACGTGCGGTCAAGGGTTCGACCGCGGTGTGACCCGGAAGAAGCTGGACCGGTTCCTCGTCTTCTTCCAGCACTACTGCCTCGCCAAATCCGAGATTCCGCTCGAGACGGAGTTTGTCGTGCTCGATTTGCTCGAGCTCTTGCACCCGAAAGGTAGCTTCGGTCTTGATGCATGAAATTTGACTTGAATTTGTAGAAAAACCGATGCGATTTGCGACGTTTGCCGAGGCTGACGCGTCCGTCCAAGCCATTTTTGCGTTGGAGCTCCAAGTCGCAGAGCGCACGCAGGCCAAGAACGGTGCGCAGGCTTCCAAGGGGGCCATTGTGTCGATTGCCGAGGACGACGACGACGACGAGAACGAAAACAATGAGAATGACGACGATGAAAGCGGCGATGAGAGCGACGGCGATCTGGACGAGCACGGCGACGATGCGCCTGAAAGCGGCGAGAGCGAGAGCGGTGAGAGTGAGGAGAGTGAGAGCGAGAGCGAAGACGAGCAGATCATCGTCAAGCACCAGCAGCCCGTGACGACGCCGGAGGACGACGAGTTTGACAAGGCTTTTCGCGCGCTCATGCTCAGCGGCTCGGACGCGCGCAAGCTCGCGCCGCGTGGCAACGCCGACAAGATGGCGATTCCGACTGTCGTCAAGACGACGCACCACCTCGAGACCCCGAAGGACGACTCGTCCGTGGTCTTCCGTCTACTCAAGCGCGGCAACAAGGGCAAGCTCGAAGCCCGCGAGATCCTCGTGCCGCAAGAAACGTCGCTTGCGCAGCACAGCCAGCGCCAGGAAGCGTCCGGGAAGAAGGAACAATCAGAGCTCAAGCGTCTCGTGCTCTTGAACGTCGAGCGCGACGAGCTCCTCGCGCAGGACGAAGCGCTCGCGTCGCCAACGCACACACCCAACCCGACGCAGCAGTACCACGAGAGCCGTCGGCGCCAGCAGCAGCAGCGCCGGGAGGGCGACCAGTCGTACATGTACGCCAACGCCCACGGGCGCGGTGCCACGTGGGACTCGCTCGAGTCGTTTCTCGGGGGCAACCGCAACACGGGACCGCCGGTGCAGATCATGCGTCCGCGCGGACAGCAGGGCGGTCGCGGTCGCGGCAGATAAGGGGCGCACGGACCATTGCTACTCTTGTTCGTCCGCGCACTCGACGCGCGGAAGGAGGCGGCTCGCAGAAGCATCGCCCTCGGAGAAGACCGAGCCGCAACGCGTAGGTATCAACACCACTGTAATGCATTCTTTACATGAGCCTGCACACTTGCGACGTGACGTCGAGCGACTTGATCGCCGCGGCCTGCACGTGGGTCTTGAGCTTGAGGTACTTGTCTGGTCGCTCGTCCAAAAGGGCCTTCTTCTCGCGCTCCAAGTGCACGATGGCGTCTTTGAGCTGAAGCTTCTCGTCGTCGGCGCGCCGGGCCGCAGCCTCGAGGTCGTTGTTGATGTCGGTCATGTGCTTGATTTCGACCGCGTGCTCTACGGAAGAGGCAGCTCAGGTCGTTGGTCAAACGCGCACCTTTGAGGCGCTGAAGAATCCAGAGCACGAGGCGCGAGTTGTCGCGGAGGGACTCTGGGATCTGCGTCAAGTCTTTGTTGCCGTCGCAGGCGAGGGTTATGAGGCGTGGGCAGTCGCTCAGCACGGGCGGGAGGCTCACGAGCTGGTTGTTGCGCACGTCGATGGTCTGAATTTCCGGCAGTTTGCGCATCTCGATCGGAAGCGTCTTGAGGTTGTTCTCGCTCGCGTCGAGAAGCTCGAGGCGCTGGCAGCCTTGGATGCCTGCTCCCGATGAGTCGCGTACGCGAGAGACCGTCGGTACCTTTGGGTATTGCTTTGAGATAGTTGTGCTGCACGTGCAAATGCAGCAGCTGGGCGCAGTACCCGATCTCGTCAGGCAGGGCCGTGAGGCGGTTCGAGGCCACATTGAGGACGCGCAGGAGCACGAGGTTGCCGAGCAGCGGCGGCAGCTCCAGAATCTGGTTGCCCTCAACGTTGAGCACGAGAAGGCGCTGGCCCTGTGTCCAGATGACGTCATCCAGACGAATCCACGTGCCATGGTTCAGGTGGATCTCGCCATTGGCGTCCGCATGGAGCGCTGGCTCGTCGTCCAGATCTTCCATCGTGTCGCTTGAACGCAAAGTTCAAGTTGCACTTGCATCTGAACCTCGCGCTCGAAAACGCGTATGCTCACGATTCCAATTATAAAGTGCAGGTAAATAAATGTTTGTGACATGGGCATTTGTGAGCCAGATTCGGAGGCTGAAGTGCAGGCGGCCTTGCTCATTAAGGATGTTTCGGATGTGATCACGAATCTTCGCCTTGAATTATGACGAAAAAGGTCAATTAACGATAAAAGAGCTTGGAAAGGACATGCAGTTGGCGGCAACTTCAACCAAGCCTCAGATTGGCGCCGAGACGGGCACCCAATACACTCACCACGTACAAGGGACTCTCATCGACGTAGGGCTCGTTCTTTAACGCTGCTTTGGACATGTTATACACGAGGCGACTTCGGCGCGGTATGTATTATACGCGGCTGGAGAAGAAGCAAATCGTCCCAGTTGTGTGGTGGTAAGGTAAGCATTGCGTTTAGCAGATGGTCTCGCTCTTGTGGTTGAGCGCCACATCCCTGATGGCGTGTTTGAATTAGGACATGCACCGAACTCAAGGGGTCTCAATTCGTTAATTCTCTCAGCATCGTCCTATTTCGAGATCCCAAGAACCACTTTCGCCACTCAGGTCGTCGTCATGCTTCGCCTCAAGTCGCTGGTCCAAAAGCCCGCGCTGCGGCGATGGGCGTCGTCTGCTGCCTCTCTTCACGCTGGCGCGTTGCCAGCAGCCAGCGGCGAGCACATGAAGCAGTGGTCGCCTGCGCTCCTCGCGTCCGGTCTCGGCCTCCTCGGTCTCTCATACATGCTCTCGGACGCGACGCACCTCGAGGCCGCGCCCGCTCTCGCCGAGGGCGAAGATGCAACACCGGCCATCGTTCCTGGTCTGTTCAAGGAAGGACTGCCGACGTACTCGCTGGCCGACGTCGCGACGCACGTTAGCGCCAAAACTGGTGGCATCTGGGTCGTCTACAAGCACGGAGTGTACGACGCGACGGACTTTATCAGCGCGCACCCGGGCGGCACGAAGCTGTTGCTCGCGGCCGGCAAGTCCATCGAGCCGTTCTGGCAGATTTACGCGGCGCACAACCACGGCGATGTGCACAAGATCCTCGAGAGCCTTCGTGTCGGCAACCTCGACGAGGCCGACGTCAAGGCGCTCGAAGACGAGCGCAAGAAAAAGTTTGGCGACGGCCCGTACGCAAACGACCCGATGCGCCACCCCGCGATGAAGGTCAACTCGCACCAGCCCTTCAACGGCGAGCCGCCGGCCGAGCTCCTCATGCAGTCGTTCATCACGCCCAACGACCTCTTCTTCGTGCGCAACCACCTGCCCGTGCCGGACGTGGACGCGGCAACGCACAAGCTCGAGCTGTTCAGCCCTGGTCTCCGCACTGGTACAGTATCATATGCGCAGCAACAGTAGCGCTGAGGTGGTTTAGACGACGGCCAGGATGGTATTGCGCTCTCCATCGAAGACCTTAAGGCCAAGTTCAAGGAGCACACGATCATCACGACGATCCAGTGCGCTGGCAACCGCCGCGCCGAGATGTCGCACATCAAGCAAGTCAACGGGCTCAGCTGGTAGGCTCCTGCTGCAATATCACTGAAGCATCGCAACGCTAGGGACACGACTGCGCTCTCGACGGCCAAGTGGACGGGCGTGCTCCTCTCGGACGTGCTGGCGCACTATGGCGTTTCCGATGACGATGGGATCCTCGCGCACTGCCACCTTGAAGGGCTCGACCGCGACATTACCGGCCAGGCCTACGGCGCGTCCATTCCGCTCGCGACGGCGCTCGACAAGCGCAAGGAGGTGCTCCTCGCCTACGCGATGAACGACGAGCCGATTCCGCGCGACCACGGGCACCCGCTGCGGGCGATCGTGCCTGGCACCGTCGGTGCTCGCAACGTCAAGTTTCTCGGTCGCATCGTCATCTCGGAAGACGAGTACGGCGGCTTTTGGCAACAGAAGGACTACCGCGGGTTCCCGCCCAACGTCGACTACGCGACCGAGGACTTTCATCGGTTCGCCGGCGCGTCGATCCAGGAGCTCCCGGTGCAGTCGGCGATCACGGAGCCCAAGAGCGGGCGACCATGGCCCCTCGACGGCTCGGACGAGGTCGATGTGCTCACGGTGAAAGGGTGCGTAACGGCTTGCCGCGATGATAGCGCTCATTTTATACACTAGGTATGCGTGGAGCGGTGGGGGTCGCAACATCCTCCGCGTCGATGTCTCGCTGGACGGAGGCCAGACATGGCAAGAAGCGACGCTCGCGCCCGAAGCCACGGCGCAGCGCTACAACCGAGCGTGGGCGTGGACGCCGTGGACGCTCGATGTCGATGTGGCCGACGACACGAAGGAGCTGAACATCGTGTGCAAAGCCATCGACTCGTCCTACAACGTGCAGCCCGACACGATCGCGCCGATCTGGAACATGCGCGGCGTGCTCAACAACGCGTGGCACCGCGTGCATGTGCCCATCGAGAAGCCTCCGCGAGACGACAACGACGACGTCGATGCGTAGAGAGGTGCTTGCCTGCTAAGCTATGTTTCATATCTTCTCCTGCATCTCCGACCACCCAACGTACTGCCCGCCGTTGGCGTGAAACATGACGCTTCGCAGGTATTAGTGGCGTTGCCACGGCTGGCGGCGCTACGACGTAACTCGCGATTACAGGTCAATGTCTCGGCTGGATCGCGCGAGGATCGGCGCGGCCGCAAGCGGCTCATGGCGGTTGCGCTGAAGGTGTCCACGCCGCCATGTGTACCCATGATGTGTACCGGCGTCGTCGCCCGCGTCGCAGCGTGTCATGGACTCGCGACATGGACGGCGCTGGATATTTTGCTGGCAGAGGCCAGTCGACGTGCTGGTTTATCGGCGTTTTATCCGGAGGTCATCCGGATAAGGACATTACGCACCGTGTTTCGCTCTTGAGGCGAAGCTACTGTCTGATCTGCGCCTGGCATGACCTACCTCCAGCGTGCATCGAGCTACCAGCCGCCCAAGTCGTCGCTCTCTGTGTGCTCGGACGCCGACTCGGACTACTATGCGGAGCTGCGCCACACGACGCCGGCCATGAACCCGCGCCTCAAGTCCAAGGTGCTCAGCCTCGAGGACCTCCGCGCGACGACCGCCGTCGACGACATGCCGTCGTTCCAGAGCGGGCCGGATGCGATCCCGATCCTCGAAGAGTCGGTCACGTACGACGTCAACCTGCGCCAGAAGGGCGTCATCTACTCGGGCGTACTGTACCGGCGGCGGCGCGGCCCCATGCAGCACTGGCTCGAGCGATGGACGCTGAGCCACTTTGTGCTCACGTGGAACTGCCTTCGGTACTACAGCCAGAACGGCGAGAAGCTCCGTGGCGAGATCGACCTCTCGCACTGCAACGAGCATTCGATCGAGGTGCTACCGGTCGACTCGGTCTTCAACGGCCGCCAAGCGACGCTGTGGCGCTTCGCCGTTCGCACGCGGACGCGCCGCCTCATCATGTCAGCCATGACCGAGTTTGAAATGAACGTGTGGGTCAAGCACCTCCTGCTTGCGATGGGCCTCGACGCGTCCAAGCAGGTCGCGTTCTTCAACCGCATGAACCGCGCCGACTCGGAGGACGTTCCGATCGCCGACTTTGCCGCCTTGGACACGGCTCAAGCCTCGATGGTATTCGACGATGACAATGGCAGCAGCGAGCATGACTCGTCCCGGGACGTGAGCTTCTGCTCTGCGGACAGCGTCGTGCTGGCCTCGGACGTGTAGAATTGGTTTTTTATATTAAAATAATATCGGCGCTGTTTTTATTCCAATGTTACACACTCAGTTTCATTGCGCCTCATGGCAGCGACGACGACGACGACGCCACTGCTGCGCGGAACGCTACTCGTCCGGCGTGAACACGAGGTGCGGGCGGGCGCTGCGGGATCGGCCTCATGGGCGCTTGTAGGACTGGCGCCCACGGCTCGTCGAGCTCGATGCCCACCGCCTCATTCGCGTGCTGCGCATCTCGGATGTCCATCATAACGTGGCGCAAGCAGAGGTAGAGACGAACTGGATGCGGACCATGACGATGCAGCAGCCATCCCATGACTAGGTGATCTTGACAGACCGCGATGCGTGGATACGAGTCCAGGACGTCGGCGTGCACCCGCATTGTAGGACGACTCAATCCATGAACGTACATGCACTGACGACGCCGTAGGCTTTGTGCTCAAAACGAAGGACACGCGCGTGCTGCTCGCCGCGACGAGCGACGACGGCATGTGGCGATGGATCGACTTTTTGCTCGAGCACCATTGCGCGTCGCTCGTGGTACTTCTCGGGTTGCTGCGATTTGTGCCAAAACGCCATGCCGTAGGAGGCCGACGACATGACGCGGCCATCGCTTATGCTTTGGCGGCAGTCGTCGCTCGACGAACGCATGACGCAGCGCGAGTCGACGCTGGATTTGAGCCAGAGCGTGCATTTCGTGCCACAAGAAACCGACTTGGCCGTGCTCGGCGCCGAGGTCCAACGCGTCATGACGTCGCAACTCGGCATGCAGCTGCTGTCGCTGCCCCACGAGACGGCGCTCTCCAAGTGCCACGTCTTCGTGTCGGACGGCTGGCAGCGAGCGTCCAAGGTTTGTCATATCGCGTCCTTCTCACCTCCTCACAGAACTAGTTGCTCCTCCTCATTGGCAATGCAAGTCCCCACACACCGCCGGGCATTTGGAGCCGCCACGGATGTACGAGGCTCGGCACCGAACGCGGCTCGATGCTTCCTTACCTTGTGCGAGCGCACGCGACCGGTACGTCAACGTCGCCATGCTTTGCAGCTTAAACGAGAGGTTGTAGGCTTTGGCACCATCGTCTTGGACATGGGCACGCACTCCAACATCTTTGCCACGGGGCGCGGCCGCGTCAAAGTGCCGGTACGGTGCCTGTGCTCTGGTATTAAACGCAACGATGCACTCGAGTACGTAGGTCAAAGGCAACGAGACGCCCGAGGCGCACATCAAGTACGTCTGGACGCAGCTACTGCCGGCGACGACGGCGCGCGACGTCGTGGCGATAGCGTACGGCCACGGCGGCACCGCGGTCCAGGACTTTCTCCATTTGCACCCGCCGTCGCTCGCGTCCTTGCGCGCCGTCGCGTTTCTCGACTCGCACCACACGCCCGAGGACGATGTCGTCGGACGATTTCTGCGGGCGCGCAGCGTCTCGTGGGAGTGCTGCGGCACTGTCGCGACAGGCGCGCCGCTACACAAGGTGCCGCCGATGCGCCGCACGGAGCTCTTTGACGCGCAGGTCGCGGGATGGCGGCTCTCGACAGGCCCCGACGAAGATATGACGCCCCTCCTTGCCCTCCCCATGGTGTTCGAGTACCTCGAGTTTTGCTTGGACGTAGACGACGACGAGAGCCCCGGGGTCTGCTCGGACCGCTGGGTCGCAATGCGCGTCAACTAATTGATTGTTGTTATGACACAGTGCTCAGACCCGTTTGACGACTATGGCGCACGGCCTCGAGCGGCCCGACCGGGATCTGGATTGGGCTCACATCTGCCGCGATTTCGTACGGCTCGGGCTCGAGCCACTGGAGCTCGTGGAGGTCGGCGTCGGGCGGCGGTTGCCACTGCTGACGCCCGGTCGGCACGTGAACGTAACACGTTCGGTGGGTCGCCGGGTCAATGTGCATCTTCCACTCGGCGTCTTTTCTGGGCGTGATGGACGCCCGCCGTTGCAGCGCGAGCGGCGTTCGCTGCAAGCTGCGCGTAAACGAGACGGCGCGTCGCAGGAGTGAGGGGCGCGGAGGCGACGGAAGCACGTGCGTCGAGCTCTGCGCGCGCAAGAGCGGTGGTTTGGTCCCCTTCGTAGCGACCGCTAGGCTTTCGGGGGTAGCATCGCTGTCTCTGGGGAGTCGGACTTTGACTTTGGTTGTTGCAATGTGCACCCAGTCGGTGCGGCCGCCGTCGTAGCGGATCTGCAGCATTTTGGTGGATACATTCGCGTCGCTGACGCGCCCCGTGTCGACGCGTCGGGCGGCTTTGACGTACACTTCGACGACAAAGTCGCGAAAGAGCGCCAGGTCGGCCGAATGAGGAATGCGCACTTTGCACTTGGCGCGCGCAAGGTCGAGGCGGAAGAGCGCGTCGGTTCGGGCATCTCGAATCTCGTAGACGTGATGCGCGGTCGTGGCAGCGACCACCGAGCATTTGCAATAGCCTCCGTCGCGGTAGACGTCGACATGCGTGCCTGGCGGCAGTGTCGGAAACGAAAACCCGCGCGGTGACAGGAGCGTTGTGACGGGGCGCTGGCCAGGAAACAGTACGAGTTTTAGCGTCATGCTCGAGAGGTCGACCCACTCGAGGGTGTCGCTGTCGAGAAACCGAAGGGGCACGAGCGCGCCTTGCGAGGCTCGCTTCAAAACGTGGCCTACGCAGTACATCCTCATATCGATGCTCTTGAGGCAAAGGGTACCAGTGCGGAAGGTGCCATGGCTGGTGCTGTAAATTTCGACGCAGGATCCCGCGGGGATATCGCGCCCGCCGTGGAGGCCGTGGAGCACGACCTTGTGCGGCGTCGTCGCGGGCTGCATTTCAAAGGTCCCTCGACTGTTGTTGTACAGGCTCGCGGTCGCGCCAAAGTGGCGGCAGACGACGGCGCCCTCTTGAAAAGTGTGCGGTGCGCGCAGCGAGTAGAGCTCGATCTCAGCACCCGCCACGTACCACGGTGACGGCGCACAGGCAACGCAGACCTTGAAGTGGCACTTGTCGAGGTCGATCCAGTCTTTCCCACCGGCCTCGTAGCGCACGAGATGGCACTGCGTCGCCGCATGAAACTGCTTGACGGCACCGCGCTTGGTCGCGCCGTCGGGTTGCGTCACCTCGACGTCGGCGCCGACGATCGTCGCGGCGTCTTTTAAAAGGAATGCCCCGGGAGCATAAACCATCTAACGCAACTCGACTTTATCCAGAATTGAGAAGACGCCCATTCATACCTTGAACGACGTGACGGCCACGACCGACTGGTCGTCGTCAAAGCGAACACGCGTGCTGCGGGGCGTTGCCTCGACCACGTGCGCAGGGACGTCGACGCCGTGGACGTTGGGCACGTGCACCAGCTGCCCGGGAAGAGCGGACAGCATATCGCTTGGCTTGTCTACAACAAGTGGGTTGATAAGACGATAAATATAGCACATTTGCTAGGAGATAAAAGACTGACTTGATTTCTTGTAGCGAGTGCCTAACGATGTTACATCGACTTCATGTCCGCAGCTACACACCAGACTCAATTGAGATGCCGTTCATTGGGACATAGTCGCACAGAGGGTTCGACAACCAGTGTCTCTTGAACACAACGTGGCTGCTATTCTTATGCAGCTTTCCGAGGCGCTGGCCAGAGGCAGCTCTCGTAGCCCCACTTTTGAAGGACTCTGTTCTACACCGCCAAACGTGGCATGCCGATCTACAATTTTCGCTCGGAACCCGCACCGACAACTTCACGGACCACCGCACCGGGGCGCACAAATGATTCCCACACCGTCGATTGAAAAGTGCTACCCCAGATCACTCAACTTTGGATGCATGCAGCAGCTACAATCTTCACTCGTGGCGACTCACGCTTCGTGATTTAGCTCGTCCATCGCCCGAACGGCGGCTCGAGCCACTCGAGCTGCCTGTGCGAGCCTCGAAACCAACCCAAAAGCGTCCATGCAACTTGGTAAAAACCATTTCGTGCGAAATACCGCCTCATCATTGATTGCTCGAGCACGGTTGTCAACAAGACTGCCGTTTCTAGCGCGGGGATCGATGATATCGATGTT